GACCTGAGCCGAAGTTGGACCCTTAACCCATTGAGCCACCCAGGTGCCCCTAAAATAATAAAAGTTTTAACTTACAGTGCCAAAAGGGATCTGGATACTCTAATGGTAGGAGATTTAGTCTGTATAAAATAAAAAAGTTGGGGCTTCTGGGTGGCTCAGTCGGTTGAGCATCCAACTTTGGCTCAGTTCATGATCCCACAGTTTGTCTGTTCGAGCCTCACGTTGGGCTCCGTGCTGACAGTTCTGAGCCTGCTTCTGATCCTCTGTCCCCCTCTCTCCAGCCCTCCCCTGCTCATTCTCTCTCTCTCTCTCTCTCTCTCTCTCTCTCTCCCCCTCGAAAATGAATGAACATTAAAAGAAATAAGAATAAAATAGAAAAGTTAACTATGAGTAGACCTCAAACCTTCAGAATCTTTGCACCCAAAGTCTTAAAAAAAAAATAGACTACTTATTTAGAAAGGACAAAGGAGGGAAACTAACTTTGAACATCTACGATGTGTGTGCCATCTTGCCAAGTGTTTTCACATAGGCTCTGTAACCGAACCCTTGCCACATACTGATGAGTTAACTCTTGTCCTCCCCATATATGAGGAACCCAAGGTCCGGAGGTTAGGTAAATTGCCCCAGGTCTCATAACTAGCACATGGTGGAGTCAGGGTATAAACCAAGGTGTATCTGGCTCCAAAGCCTGTGATCATTGACCTCCTCTGGATCGCTTCTTATAGGCTATAGTTTTTTATTTTTATTTATTTTTATTTTTAGAGATAGAGAGAGCAAGCTGGGGGGGGGGGGCGGGGAGGGGCAGAGGGGCTCGATCCCCAGCAGTGACATCATGACCTGAGCAGAAATCAAGAAGTGTGGATGCTCAACCCCCGGAGCCACCCAGGCGCCCCTTTAGGCTATTGTTTTTAATGACCCCAGCAGCGTCTTTAGGTAACACTGGACTCCCATTTCGCAGATGAGGAGGTCAAGGTTTAGAGCATCAACTACTCTCTCACAGAGAGTAGTAAATCTGGGGACTAAACCCCGTCAGGACCGATACAGGACCCACTGTACCAGAATGCTTTCAGAGTGTTATGTTGGTTGTCAAACGGTCATCGAGGTTTCGTGACATAATGGCGCTTTGGTTCTATTTTGCATGTTTCAGGTGCCTTCTTGATACCTTATGCGATCATGCTCGCGCTGGCTGGTTTACCCTTGTTCTTTCTGGAGTGTTCACTGGGACAATTTGCTAGCTTAGGTCCAGTTTCAGTTTGGAGGATTCTTCCATTGTTTCAAGGTTGGTATCACAACGTTTTCCCTATGGTGCTTATTGGCCTATTTGGCGTATAGAGCTGTCCCCACTATGTGGCGTTAAAATGTTTCCAATTTGGACATGGGCAAGGCAAAAGAGGCATCCGTTTTTTTTTTTTTTTTTTCCTCTGAACGTTTGCCAGCATAGAATTTACAGACCAAATGTTAATTTGGAGTTCTGTTTCTCTCGGGCTGATGGTATGGAAGGGACCGGGCGGGCGGGGGGGTGGGGGGTGGGGGGGGATGCTAGAGGGTGTTTAAGGGTGTCATTATTCTCCTATTTTCACCTTTTAAATTCCTCTGGCACACAATTGTAGTCGTGTTGCGCATTAACTTCCTGGGAAGTTTTTCAAAGTGTCTTGATTGTCATTAAACATCAAACAGCCCTCCTGCCTGAAGATTAGTTTCAACGGCTGCAAACTATTTGCAAAAGCCTCAATGCAGCGTCAAAAATAAATTGATAGTGAGGTGCGTAGAACAGTTGTGCTGGAATATTGAGGAAGCCACCGCAGAAGCTAGCCTTGAGCGTTCGAGTTCTATTCAATGTTACACTGCAGTTTGACACCGGAGAGTTCAAGAAACTTCAGAAGTTTAAATTCAGATGGGTACGGAGTTGTTGGATGTTCTTTACATGTACTTGGAGAAATCCTGTGCACTCGTTTGGAGGCTTTGTCTTCCACTTATTAAAATACTGGTTTATAGATGAAGTAAGTAGAGCCATAACTAGTGTTTGTTGGTTGGTTTTGAATGTTTATTTATTTATTTATTTTTGAGAGAAAGAGAATGAGCAGGGGAGGGGTGGAGAGACAGGGAGACAGAATCCCAAGCAGGCTCCGCGCTGTCAGCCCAGAGCCCGATGTGGGGCTTGAACCCATGAACCGTGAGATCATGACCTGAGCTGAAATCAACAGTCAGACGCTTAACCCAGCCACCCAGGCGCCTCTGTTTGTTTTTAGGAATAGGACCCACGGTGACAAGAATTTTCTGACTGAGTAAGAGAGTAATGGCCATGGGTGATTGCTCATGTGAACTTGATGGATGAATAGAGGTTTTCTGCCCTTGATCTTAGTACCATTTTCTAATTAACTGAAAAACCGGTCTGAGAAAGCCAATCACCAACATAATTTTAAATTTGAGAAGAAAGCTATTTAGACAGTAGTTAGACTGCCTCCCCCCTCCTGCTCAAAACAAGGAAAGGCAAAGAAAATGTCTGAACCAGACTTCTCATTTTAAAATAGATTTGGGGAGGGGCGCCTGGGTGGCTCAGTTGGTTGACTGTCTGACTTCAGCTCAGGTCATGATCTCACGGTCTGTGAGTTCGAGTCCCGCATCGGGCTCTGGGCTGACAGCTCGGAGCCTGGAGCCTGTTTCAGATTCTGGGTCTCCCCCTCTCTGCCCCGTCCACACCATGCTCTGTCTCTCTCTGTCTCTCAAAAATGAATAAACGTTAAAAAAAATATAAAATAAAATAAAATAAAATAAAATAAAATAAATAAAATTGATTTGGGGAAATTGAGATGCAGTTTTCTTAATGAATTAGCAAAAGAAATTTCACTTTTTAAAAGAATTTTAATTGTTCTCTTTTCCAGGTGTGGGAATTACGATGGTCCTGATATCCATTTTTGTGACAATCTATTACAATGTCATAATTGCCTATAGTCTTTTCTACATGTTTGCTTCTTTTCAAAGTGAGTTACCATGGAAAAATTGTTCGGTTTGGGCAGATGATAACTGTAGCAGGTCGCCTATAGGTAAGCTACATTTATTTCTTAAAAAATTTGTGAACTGAGCATTGTTCTTCTATATTTTCTAATAAGCTTAAAGGGTTACCTTATTTTCTAACCAATTTAGGTGCAATTAAAAGTGAGCCATGGGTTATTGATGAAAGCAGAACAAAGCCTGGATAACTTGAAAATTGATTAGTGCAATCCGTTCATCTCTGAGGGCAGCCAGTAAAAACTAAGCCATCATTTGGAGTAGGCAAGAGAGAAGGAAGAAAATGGCAAAGTGGTAGAGAAAAGCTCTATCCATGATAGTACTATAGTGAAGCCTTGGATTGCGAGTAACTTGTCCTGCGGGCGTTCCACAAGACGAGCAAACATTTCCCATCAGTTTTAACTTGATAAACGAGCGACATCTTGCCATATGAGTTGTACGTGCCACCGAGCGTCACGTGATCACAACCGAGCCAACGGTTCTCGAAATTCGCTTTGATATATGAGCGCTTGGGATTACAAGCATGTTTCCGGAACGAGTGCTGCTGGCAAACCAAGATTTGTATTGTGTTTCAGCAGCTGGAGAATGTCCGTTGTCTCCATCATACGTTGCTGGTCTTTGGGATCACGTGATATTGAGACTGTAGGCTATTACTACTGGGATTGCCTATGTCTATCAAAGAATAAAGTGATAAAGCTTTCGTGCTTCTTAGCCATTTCAAGGTATCACTTATCTATATAGGTTCAATAAGTCCACATCCTAAAAATTCCTTAGAGCACTAAATCCCATCTGAAATGATTGTTACTTTATCGCGGTTATTACTATAAACACAATCCTAGTAAAGGGGCAGACATTTTCATACTCACCCCAAGCTCAGTATTAGAGAAGACTTGAGATGCTGAGCACTCAGGGTTTATTCCATTTGTAAGATTTCTCCTCTGCCCTCACCAAGTAACGATCTAAACAGTTTATTTTACCATTCATACTTTTTTCTCCAGGAAAATACTTTTCTAAAACTAAGTACGTGTCTCTGTGTGTGCTCTTCTTTATAATTTTTAGTTACTCATTGCAATGTGAGTACAACGATGGGGGACATCATCCGAGTAAATAAAAGCTGGTTAAGCACCCACAATTTGACCTGCATCAATGGAAGTGAGGCTTATCAGCCAGGACAGCTTCCCAGTGAACAATATTGGAAGTAAGTATGTTAGACGACCTACTTTTTTTTTTTCAGTGTTGATTTATTTTGAGAGAGAGAGAGAGAGTGAGCATGAGCAGGGGAGGGGCGGAGAGAGAGGGAGAGAGAATCCCAAGCAGGCTCTGTGCCGCCAGCTCAGAGCCCGACGCGGGGCTTGAACTTGCAAACCGTGAGACGGTGACCTGAGCCAAAACCAAGGGCCAGACGCTTAACCGACGGGGTCACCCAGGTGCCCCAGATGACCTGCTTCTTAAACAGAGGTGACGTAAAATTTTTCTAAATAACAGTAAAATAGCGATCAGCTCTTTCCTCACCTCATGTTAGTAGGACAAAAAGGGGAATTGGAACAAATTATGCTGCATTTGACTCAAATGCTTACCCAGCCTGTGTGAGTAGCAGTAACCTGCAAAATCAGCTCATAGTCAATAAATGGTCATTTAAAAATTCCTTATTAAATGAGCAGAATACTGTCAGCAGTGGTTTATTCATTGCTGTTTAGGCCTAAGTTAGGGCATTGCTTTGAAGAAGAAAATACTCACATTTTGGACTACAATGAGCAAATTCTAATACTAAACAGCTGGGTGATGAGTAATATTTGGAGTAAAATTGCTATTTATTTAAGGCTGAAATTCTTCATTGCCTATTTTACTTATAATTGTCATTACATGGTAAAAATAGATATGTGAGATTATATATATTATTATATATATGTTATGTATATATTATAGAGGTGTATATATATATATATATATACATATATATATATATATATATATACATATATATTTACTTGTATTAATTTTAAATGATCTCTTCTTACTCTCCTTACTTCTACCTACCTTTGACCCTTACCAGATTTCCTTGAATAACGCTGTAATGAGTTCTTCCTCACCGATGTGCTAATGCTCTGTGGCCCTTTTAAAATTTGGATCTTAAAATGTTCCCAAACATAAAGCGAAGAATTAAAATCCCAGATCCACGCACGTCTCTAACAGAAATCATTGAATGTTACAGAAAGCCTTTGAAAAAGGCATACCAATGGGGACCGGTCTAGGTTTGATGCTAACTAAAAGCGTGATGAATAATTGACTATAATTTTCGGGGTTTTCTTCATCATTTTACTTGGAGAAAAAATACGGTGGCGAATGAAAGAAATAACCTGATGTAAGGTTATTATTATTATTATTATTATTATTATTTTTACATAAAGGAGCTTTGAAATACGAGGGGGGAAACCGTAGCTACAGGAACTAGTAGATGTTTTATTCGAGGGTTTGGAACTCTGCACTGGCCACGGTTAATGCTCACATGCATAGCCTAGCTTTTCATTGAACGACGTTTGCCCCTCTTTACGATGGTATCAATAGAAACGTCCCAGGACGTTGATGTATTGAGATAGATGGAACATCCTCCTGGATGACGGATGTTGCAGAATTCGATGTAGTAGGACCGCGATTCTGTGTTCATAAGGACTTGTGTGCTTTCAGCAAAGTGGCGCTCCAGCGGTCAAGTGGAATGGATGAGACTGGGGTAATTGTGTGGTATTTAGCACTTTGTCTTCTTCTGGCTTGGCTCATAGTCGGAGCAGCGCTATTTAAAGGAATCAAGTCTTCTGGCAAGGTAATTCGGAAAACACATTAGATGGCGATGTAGCTCTTTTCCAACTTCGTTGAAGTTCAGTGGCAAGCATAATCAAATGCATGGTTTTTTCTATAACGGGAACAATTCAAATGCGTGAAAAGCTTTCTAAGGAGGCGGCCTGGCTGTAAGAAAACACATAAGATCCCCGCTATTGGTATAAATAAAACAAGCAAAAACTAGTACTAGAGTTTGACAATGACAGCTGACCCTTGAACAAGTCTGGGGTGGGGGGCGCCAACACCCCCACCCCGTGCAGTTGAAAATCCTACTATTGTTGACCAGAAGCCTTACTGATAGCATAGTCAATTAACACCTATTTTTGTACGTTATGTGCATATTTTTAATGTTCATTTATTTTTGAGAGAGAGAGAGAGAGACAG